ATGCGAGTAACCTCGTTAAAGAAGTCTATCAGACATGTACTACATGATCTTGTTCTAATGAAACCATGTTGTGTTGGGTCTATTAGTTCTTCCTTAAGTAGGTGATCTGATAGTTGACTTTGTATCACTTTTTCCATTACGCACGAAATAACTGGGGTGATATTTATAGGTCTGTAGTTTCCGACCAGGTTTCTCGATCCTGATTTGTGTTTGGGAAGAACATACGTTACCTTCCAGGCTTCAGGATATGTACCCGCCTCTAATGATAGTGTGTATATTTTGAGCAATAACGTATGTATATCCGGCCCCGACATTTTATAGAGAATTGATGTTATATCATCAACACCAGAGCTCGCATTCGGCTTAAGGGTTTTGATGGCGGTATGTATACTCCTAATGTCAAAGTTTATGGTGCTAATATAACTTTTGCTTATGCATTTTATGTTAAAATCTGGGGCATTAGATATATTTCCGTTTTGTGAAAACCATTCACTTAGCAGTTCGCATATGACGGTTTGGTCATAGTACGTCACGCCATCGTGCAGTGAAGAGTGAATGTTGTGATCTTCGTTCTTTCTCATCCGTTTTTGCAAGGAGCCGACATAAGTGTTGGACTTTAGATGCAGCTGTCAGCGCAGTACATTCTTCTGTCAGTTTGTTTTTGTTGTGATGACTTTGCACTCCTTCAAGTACAGAGTATACCTGGTGCAGGGCACTAAAGTCCTTTGATATAAGGTACGTCTTTCTTAGTTTTCGTAGCTTAGACTTAGCCTTTTGGTTGATGTAGGGAGAAATTGTTTTGAAAGAAATTTTAGAAGGGATGGTAGTGTCTAGTGCAGATTTGGTGGTATTATTGAATATTTCCAGTGTTTCTAAAAGGTTATCACTGGTGAAGAAAGTGTTCCAGTCAGAATGCTTCATAAGAAACTGAATGTTACTCCATTCGGCGCTTGCAGAGAGAGAGATATTATCCCCCTATCTGTACAAATATATAACGAGTTTGAAAGCAGTGATCATAAGATAGTAGCTTGTGCTCTCCCTATCTATCCCTCATATGACCGACCAATTCAAAGAACCTGCAATTATAGAGACTATAAGTATGCAGACTGGGACCTCTTGCGCTCACTGATCAAACTCTCAGACTGGGATGAATTCTTCTCATGTAATAGTCTGATAGATGCCATCAACATATTCTATTTGATTGGTAACTCTTGTCTAGACTCCTGTGCACCAATTAAGACTCACAGGATTAGTAAAACTTACGAATTATATATACCAGCTAAATATCGTAATAAACTAAGATGCCTACAGAAAAGTTATTATAAATCTAACGACTTCATGGCAGTTACACGAATAACAATAATTTTTAACCAAATTAAAGAGAAACATAGGTTAAAAGCCATTAATGAAGAGCTATTAGCACTAAGTACTAGTTCAAAAGTGCAAAACCTAATACTCCTTTTCAATAAACGCGCTAAATCAACTCAAAAGGTTGATATATCATGCATCCTGCACAATAACAGTTTTATATATGACCCTAAAACAATAGCAGACCTTTTCAGTGGTAATTTTGCAAATGGCGAAGAATCCATAAATGGTTCTGTTTCAAGAGTTATATGCATAACTGGTAACTCAATAAAATCTATCTCCTTCTCATGCCTGAAAATTAGTAAAGCCTTACATAACATCAAGGTTTCGAGAGGTCACGGAGCAGACGGGATTTCATCATTTCTCTACAAATATGTTTTTCCAGATATTCCACTTCTTCTCCTTAAGCTGTTTACTCTCTCTATGGAATAAGGCTCTTACCCAGACCGTTGGAAAACCGCGTACATCATATCACGTTACCAATCCGGAGATAAGACTGACATGAACAACTATCGGCCGATAAATACTACTCCAGTTATCTCTAGGATTATGGAAAAATTATTAGTGAAGAACTATTCAACTATTTATTGACTGAACAATTTATCGATGGTTCTCAACATGGATTTCTTAAAAATCGATCCTGCATGACATATCACTTTGACCTCTTTAGTTTAGTCTATACTCTTCGTAACCAAGGATATGTAGTATTAATGCTATACCTGGACATTTCTAAGGCCTTTGACATGGTCAACCACCAACTACTCATAGGTATACTCGCATCTTATGGGGTCCAAAACTCGTTACTAGCCTGGTTTGATTCCTTCTAAAGCAATCGACATCAAATAGTTAAAATCAACTCTTCATTGTCGAATGCCATTCCTGTTAGAAGTGGGGTAACTCAGGGTATTGCCTTAGGCCCTTTGCTCTTTTTAATTTTTCATAATGATATTCGTGAGTGTTTTCGTTTGGTGAGTCATGACCTAACGTCTTCGGTCCGTTGCCGGGAGGTTGCAGCTAGGAGGTTTAGAACCATCTGAGCTTTAAGACGGACATTCACCAAGTTAGATACTACCACGCTCACAACAGTATACACAACCTTAGTGAGAACTAAGCTTGAGAACTGTTTTTCAGGTTGCAAGCCCCTGTTCAAAAGATGACTCTTGTATCTAGGAAAAAGGACAAACGGCAGTTGCTCGTGCAATTCTAGAACTCTAGGGTCCACTATACAGAGAGCTTCTTGGAAAGGTATACCTCTTCACTCTATCCTATCAGAGATTAAGAGGTGATTTGATTTGGATGTATAGAATACTAAGAAATAATTTTGGACCAAAGATATTCTCTCTTTTTCTTCTCACTAGAGCGGGACATTTCAGAGGACATAACAGGCGAGTAGAAACCCAAGAATGAATAAAATACTCGTGGTATACAGGTTTCCACATCGAGTTATTAATTCTTGAAACCTATTACCCAAAGCACTGGTGTCCGCACCTTCAATCGACTCATCAGTAGAAGACTGGATACTCATATAAGCATACTAGAAGGGGAATAACATAAGCCGTATGACTTTTGTCTTTACTACACAAATCTGAACTAACACATTCAACTTTGGTGTATGACATGGTATTTGCGAACCTAATCTTCAGTCTTCAGTAATAAGGATAGTAGGTTGGTGAACCTGTGTTAATCCTGACAGATTTCCCTCCAGTGAAGGTCCGGCTTCTTTTTGAAAATGTTCACAGATGGAGCTGATACCAATTGTTCGGATAAAGCATTCCAGTCATTGAACATTCGATGAGATATACGGGACCCCACCTTTAGTTTATTAAGTCGTCGTTTGTGAAACATCTTGCTATGACCTCAGAGATTAACAGTGCTGGAGGGGGCAAAAAGATAAGACATATTAACGCCTAGGTAATAATTCAAGATACGAAATGCCAGTATAAGGTCACCTTGCGTCCTACGATAAAAGAAGGGGAAAAAGTTTGGACGTTTTAAACGCTCATCTTAAGGAAGTTTAGTTACACCCCTCATTCATTTCGTTTCCACATGCTGAACACACTAAAGCGAGCTAGAATCCTTTATCAGACATGGGCTAGCTGCTTGGATACAGTATTCTAAGTGTGGTTTTACGTAGGTCGGACATCATGTCAAAGCATTTGAATGCTCGGTGAAGTGACCATCACGCACGACAACCTTTGGGAGCGGCCGAGGTTGCAGTGCGTAGTTGCTTTCAAGTCGTGGCTTATCATTACTCCCAAGACTTTATATTCTTGAATGCGCGGAAGAGATGCATCTTCAATAGTATAATGGTAGCTATTACCGTATCCGATGTGCATGAGCACGCTCTCCCTGGGATTGGCTTCTAAGCCTAACCTTGAGCCCATCTAACTAATTCGTCTAAGTCAGCTTGGAGATGACAACGATCAGCCTTATTTTTTATTTTTCTCCAGATTTTGACATAATTAGCAAAAACAATAATGTCGACGACTTAAGCAATAGAGGTAATTCATTAACATAGAGAAGGAAAAGTAGAGGGCCGAAAGTGTTGCCTTGAGGTACACCACTTTCGACCGGCTTCCACTCGGATAGCATTTCGTTGACCCATACTTTCTGTCTACAGTCACATAAAAAAGTTTCCTAACCACCCCTGTATAGCATCTGTTATTCTAAAGCTCGAGCGCTTTTGTATAAGACCTAAGTGTGAAACTTTGTCAAACGCTTTGCTAAAATCTATGAATATCACATTGACAGACAGGCCGTTAACTAGGGTTGCTGTCCAATCCTCTCTCGCAACGAGTAAGTTAGTCAAACTTGTTACGAAACCCATGTCTCTCGTGAGTTAACAGACTGTACGAATCTATGTGTGTTTGTAACTTAATCCGAATTATCCTTTCAAGTAACTTAACGACTATGCTGGCCAGGCTGACAGGCCGGTAGTTAGATACGATCCTTTTCCGATCATGCCTAAATATATGAATGACTATGGCGTCCTTCCAATCTCTAGGGAGTTGAGAGAGTGAAAGGGACATGTTGAAGAGCGTCGCAAGCGGTCTTGAAATAATGTCCTCAAGCGATGACAACAAGCGTGGATGTAACCCATCGGGGACCGGTATCTTACAGAGTATGAGGTTAGTTATCAATGAACGAACAGTGTCTTCAGTCACTCGTACAGATCCTACGGCTGGTATATCTGTGTAATTGGGACAAGTAGTTTTAACACTACTCGTAGAGTAGACTTAACTAAAATAGTTTGCATTCATCTTCGATCGATCCGTCAGCACCGACCGATCAGTCAGTTGAGATAGCACTATCTCTGATCGACTGGATATTAGCTCTCCAGATATTCGGACGGGGTGGAGCAGATGTAAATTCTATACCACGTGTCCGGAACTTAAAGGAATGTACAACATGGTCAATACTCACTAGTGGGGTAAGGTGTTGAATGTCGACGACATCTCGACAGTGTTGTATGAGGACAAGATCTAGCAATGACGGATCATGTTCCAAGTCAATATGTGTTGGTTTTACGATACGTTGTACAAGTGCACACTGATTAATTGCTGATACGTCGCTATCGAAACCCCACCTGAAGCTGTGAGCTTTATCCAGTTGATATGTGGTGGTTGAAGATAGAAACTCCAGAGCTACTAGTCACGAAAGTAAACGATATGATTGATGTGGCTCATTGTAAAGTAGTTCACTATGGGGATATTGATAATCGGAAGGCTTTTGATTACAAAGCGCTTAATTTATGACTGTCGAAACATGGTCTCGGTCAGTATGATAAGTGCTAAACTATCAGACCTACATGACAACATTACGAAATTGTCCCATGAATTGGATCTCAAACGTAAGGAAAAGGAGTCCCAAAGAAGTTTTGTTAAGAAGGTAATATGTTCGGATTGTTATCTAATAATTTAGCTTGACTCAGAAATCAAAGATAAACATAGATTTCTAGATAGTTTAGAACAAAAACGTGAACAGCATGAAAAAGCTATTAGAGTCAATGCTGAGCGCCTGTCTGAGCTTCAAAAATCAGCTGCTGAGTGTCAAAAGTACGACAATCATTAGAAATATTTGTCCTAGAGCACATGAATCTTTAGAAAAACGACTAGAAAGTCAAGAACAATCAATTCGGTCTCTCGAAGACGAAGTTAATGAGGCACAAAGTCTCGCGAAGTCTTCAGCTCAAGTTTACGATGAGGTTTGTATACTCAGTTATTTTGAATTCTTCAGACTCTCAAGCTACTACAAGAAAAGTTGGAGATTTTGGAAAAATATGATCGGAAAGAAGAATCTCTTACCAAGTATTATATTTGCACACTGTAACTCGCCTTCAGGACTATCAAGGAGTTGAGAGAGGAAGCCAATTTGCATGGGAACAGACTACGTCGCGTTGAGGCACAAGGAGACGAGGTTCGTTTTATTTGGTTGTTTTTGTTACTCATAAAGATTCTTACTTCTTTGTTCTCAGAAGTGGTACACGTAGGCTTGTAAATGTGATTTCTCGCCCTCCACGACATATAATCCATCTTGGATGTAGTGAGGCTAGATTGAGTGTGCTTCGGCCCAAAGTATGATGATGGAGTTTTATGGAGTTGAGATTTTCTACAATTTTGCTAGTGATAAATTGGGATAGTATGAGGTACAGACAGTTGAGAACGAGTTTACTTTATCCATGATGAAGTGAGACTTATTCATGTATGAAAATGACAAGTTATTGTTTATTTGTTAGCCGATCAAGGAACGAACTTCAGCCGATAAGAATTCATCTTTAACTGGATCAAATGCCTCATAAGTATTAACATATCTGCACGCAGTATATAAGTAACCCTTAACTCACAGCCCTAACAAACTTCCTGCACACTACTACAGCTTAGTAGTAGTATTATTATCTCAGATTTGTGTTGTACTCAATTTAAGTTTAATAAGGGGAGGTGCACACGTAACTGTTAGACTTTAGCTTGTCGTCGAAAAATGTCAATTTTAGTGGAAAAGAATGGCAATACTCCTCAAAGAATTATCAGTACTATTCATCATTACTTTCAAAACTGGAATAGTAGTTATTGTAGTGTCGAGTGAATTATCTCTATCTTGTAAAAAACTGCTGAATTTGGTTGATTTAGATCCTTTGGTTTGTAATGAGTTCAGCCAAAAAGCTTCGAAATGTGTTAAACGGCCCAAGTATTCAATCTAAATTCTTTTGTAATATTTCCGTTTAGGTTTTAATTGATTGGAGAATAAAAGACCTACAAATTAATTCCCTCCAATCGCTTGTAACATTCCATCGCCCCCAAATGCCCTGGTACGCTAAAGGGTGGGGAGAGCCCACTTTCCCTCCCGAAATGCTCTCACACGACCACAAGGATACAGCCACTATCAGGATAGTCCTACTCACTGCCTTCTCGTGTCGGGCGTGTTCGTTACAAAGTTGAGAGGACAAAAAGCGTATGTCCGGCGCTTTACCGGGTTAGCAGATACAGAGAATTTACCTAGGGGAGTTGGAAAACATTGATTACAAACCAATGGTGTACATGGGCTACTGAGGTGGCCTTGAGTGCTGTTAGAGGTCAAGACCACCTCAGTAGCCCATGTACACCATTGGTTTGTAATCAATGTTTTCCAACTCCCCTAGGTAAATTCTCTGTATCTGCTAACCCGGTAAAGCGCCGGACATATGGGCTACTGGATCTTGAGGGAACAAATGTCGTTGAATGTTTCATTTAATTTATTTGCGGACAAATGTATAAACCAATTATTAGTCACCCGCCACCATGGAGCTGCATTTTCTAACGTTGCTCCAGTGCCTTATGGAATAGACCTCTAGGTCAAAGGCTCGGGAGTGGCCCTCTAAGAAAACCACCTGTTTCGGTCTAGGCACCCGAGGAGTATCGCAGCCCTCCTAAATCAACTGAACTATGTGGTGCATATATATTCGGTGCCCTTTTGTACCTATATTTGTGTTAAAATAAATAAAATAACATTTTAACGCGTTTATTTTGTGTTTATATTCCATATATAAGCACTTTTTTACTACACGAAAAACTTCATGTAACTAGTTTTATTGTCTTTGATTTCTAATTATTTGGGGTCCTAATTCGATAATATAGTTTTGTGAATCGCCATCGCACGGCCACATATTACTTTCATCTATCGCCTAGCATTCTATCCATTCATTTTAAGTCGGAAATTTCGTCTGATCAAATCACAAGAGCATCCTCCATAACAAGAATATAAACCTGTTCGTGTTATACTGATTACAATACTCTCACTATTTAAGGCTCTGCACTTTACTGCATTTTCCACTAAGTAACTGTATTGTTTGGCTATACTCAATGAGGTTCGTGTCACATCTGGCTTTTCTTTAACTTTTTTAGTAGTTTTAGGAGTCCAGCTCCTGTATGGTTTTACTTAGAGATTTATTTCTTTACAGGCAAATAAACGCATAGAAATACTGGAAGAAAAAATCAGGGGACTGACAGAACAAATTAATTTTGTAAGTCACTCATGTTTTTCCTTTTTACAAGGAGATTTGGGTAATCTAATTTTGAAATAAAAGTAGAACACCCTTAAAAAGCTTATTAGTAAGGTTCTATTTCAGCCTTCATCTGACAGCGTTGACTATTGAATACAAGTGTTCCTGTTTTGGCCTTTATGTTGTTAATATTTTCTAGGAAAGCATATCCTTTTATTAATATCTCGTGAGCACAAAAGGCATGTGATGAATAGCATTCGGTGGCTAATTTTTACTGTAAGGTAATTTATTTCTCAATCACCAACCAGGTACATATTCATGTACTTAGCTTTCAACCACATTGTGGTGACTAGTGATACTGTCCGGTTTTCGGATCTACACTAGGTGGATCAAGCTTCAGACCTGCTACTCAGTGACTTAAAGTCGAACCACTGATCTATTGCTCCACTTAGAAATGAAAAAGTCACAACCTGATGTTTATCGTCTTAGTTGCAAATAAAGTGCCATCGTTTTCAACCATCTGGCTACTTCATTATCGTTTTTACGACTAACGATGGAATATCACAATGACTTTCTTATTTATCGATACTTTATGCAAGTTTCAGCATGAACAACTGGAGAAATAAAGGTAACCAATCATTTGAAGGGCATCTAATATTGCCTTCTAATTTTAAATAATAGAGTTATGACTTGGTGTACATTTTAGACAATCTGTTTACTACTTAAAAGATAATGTACCTCTTGAAAGCATAGTTTATTAAAAGGATTATATAAATTAACATTTTGGACCTCTATCATTTGTGGTTGCCGAGACGCGTTATTTGTTTTCAGGCACCACGTACTTCAGTGTTTTATTATTGGATATTAAAGAGGGCTGGAAAGTCGCTGTAGTTGACCTTATAGGGACAATGATACTCCATGAAAAATAGTCAGCTATTGTTTTAAGCTCTGAAAAATAGCGCAAAATCTTATGTTTTAGTCTACAAGACAAGAAATTATGAGAAACAGATCTTGAAATCGACTAATGTAGCGCGAATACATCAATCCCTTACATCCGTCTTAGTTCCAAGCATAACTTCACACTCCTTTCACTTACTATTTTAAGTTGTTTCTTTTGACTATATCCTCTCAACTCACGACTGTTGTTAATATTCCTGTTTTTCTGTTTGTGTGTCTATTCGTTTGGCTTGCTCTGTCTTAATTTAAACCTGAGAAAATTATTCTGAAATTTCCTGGTTTTGTTTTCCAAAGTGTTTAAAAGAAAATGAACTTGCTCAGCATTTTAACTTCATATAATTTCATCTTATGTTTATCATCGATATAAATAAGATCAACCTCTAAGAAAACGATTAAAGCAAACACTGCCCCTTATATTATCTACATAACAAAGCTATGCAGTAAGGAAAATTTAACAACCTCGTAGAACGCTATTTGAAGTAGCCACGTAAAATAGTAACCTAGCTAAAGCTATATAATGAAACTCATTTACTAAGTACTGGTTTGTGTCTGACTTGGAGCCTTTGTTTATGTAGTAGCTAATAGTATTACCATGTTGCCCACATCTAATCAGATAAAAAGGCACTTCAAACTAAAAGAATAAAGCTGTTGAGGAAACTTCCTCGACTAGATCTGAAGCTTGTCTGATTTTCACAGATTTCTCAGATTCAGTTCTGATAGCTGTGATAACGTAGTAGGTGACTTACTACTTCAGTCATTCGAATTTCCCAACTTCTATGTCATATTTACCTTTGTTTTTGTTCATAAACTGCAACAATCGGCACTCGGGATCGTTTAGATGTAACTGTTTAACCACCGAATTATAACTAATGTATCAGTCGTCGCAGTAAAAAACTTGGAAGATTACTGTGGGCTTCTAGAATAAATTCATCGATGACTACTTCTATTCTGCGCCTCATAAGTTAAGGCACACAAAATTCGCTAATATTTAGAGCCCATACATCAGTCTATCTTTCAGGGTGCTGGTAGTAGATAATTAAGGCTAGCTGAATAGCTCCATAAAGCGGTCTGTACTTTTATGACAACCTTGATTTTGCCTGCCCATGGTCTCGATGAGCTAAGTTACTTAGTTCATTTTTATTTTAATTTAAACACATAAATATTGGTACAAAGAGGCACCAGATATATATGCTCTGCACAAATCTCATTTGATTTGTGTGAGGGCTGTGATACTGCCCAGGTGCCCAGACTGAAGCAGATGATTTCCTTAGGGGGCCACACCCGGAGCCTTTAACCTAAAGGTCCGATCCACAAGGCAATTGAGCATCGTAAGGAGATGCAGTCTCATGGTAGCAGGTGACCAACGATAGATTCATACGCCATTTGTTCCTTCTGGATATTGGAGCCCATGTACACCATTGGTTTGTGTTATGTAGTAGCGGAGTCATAAGTACGGGTAACTTGCAGGACCTACTATTGGACTATCATTCTTATTGTATAACTTTTCGGTAACTAGATTATCTATATCTATATTCATCTTATTGTAAGCTTCATTGTGACCTATTGATTATTATTGTATGATTTACTGTTCCTAAGTTATGCTCAGTTTTATTGATTGTTGTCTCCCACGCTTACAGCCTCATTTGGCCTGGTTTTGTACAAATATTATTTTCTATTTTATGGTGTGGTGTGGTCTGCCTGTTTGGTATATAGACAAAGTATGTTTGAAATAAACGATTTGCATAGATTCGCATTACAGCAGCTGCTATTGGTGTTTTGGACTCAAGTGGATGGGTTAGGCGGATAAGTGCCAATAAGGACGCTAGATTACTCATACTAATCGAACGTCATTGTCACAGTGTGAAGGTCGTAGAAGTCGTATTCTATTGGTGAACAATTTACGCGAATTACGTCCTTGTTAAATTTGTAAGGTCATAACGAATCAGCGACGACCTTGATCAAGTCATAACAATTGGCTACCGCCTAGGTCAAAAACATAACAAATTGGCGACGGCTAGGTCAAGTCATAACAGTTTGTAATCAAGGTTTTCCAACCCCCCTAGGTGAACTCGCAGTGTCCACCAACCCGGTGAAAGCGCCGGACATACGCTTTTCATCCTCTCAATTTTGTAACGAACACGCCCGCCACAAAAAGGCAGTCAGTATGCTTCAGTTGGAAGAAGCTATATACGCGTGGCCATATGAGAGCATTTGGAGAGGGAGAGCGGACTCTCCCCACTCTCGGTCGTTCAATCCTGACACTTATAACCCATGATTTTCGTTTTTGACTAAACAGCTTCGAGTGCAGATAAAAATGGAATCATCTTATCACTGACCAGTGACCTGACCGATTACATTAACTGGTACATAAACAAACAAGTGAATAACTGGGCCACAACGTCAATGAATGAAAACAGTACAATAATGCAGAGACAGCATAAAAGGATCTCGTTCAAATGGCAATAATCTTGTAATGGTAGGTAATGTAACACTGATTTGTAGATTAAGGGAAATCTTATGATGCGTAGGATAAAGTAGGTACATAATTAAGTGTTTGTAATTTATAGATTTCGAGTTAAATGAGATAATATACCCCCAGAAGTAGCTCTCACTTTTTGTCATTTCTTCTTGATTCTTCTCTTCACTTCGTTTCGATTACGACTCATAACTGGATTTTTATGTGTGTGTGTGTTTGTAATTATCTCACCACCAACCTCTTCATCAGTTTAGATAACCGTTCACTTCTGTATGTAGCTGGTACTGTTATCCTCATCTATCGACCGAACTCAAGGTCCGAAGGCGAAGTCGTACTGCTGACTGTACAGAGGTGTGACAGCAGTAAGGTGTTTACTTCAGACAACCAGCATGACAGCGATGCTACCTTCCCACAAGGAGGGGTGGGGTTAGAAAACGTCGACCCTAAAAATGCACACCTCTCCTTATCCCACGGATATCCGTCTCCGGCGGTAAGGGTTTTTTTTGAAGAACGGAGCTAACACGTCAAAAATCCCCCACAAAAAGGTCGTGTGTGACCGACCTCAAGCAGTTGTCCCTTGGGCACTGCGGTCACGCTCTCAGGTCATTAAGACCACTTCTAACCCAATTTCCTTTTCAGGTACCTCTAGAAGAATCTTTCCACGGTGTGGGCAACCGGGAAGTGATAACTGCCCTCATACCTCTAACAACACTCAAGACCACTGTATTCATAATCAATCTCCTTCTTCAAATCCTACTATTCCTTCTACCTTGACTTTCAACACTAAACTTCCTCTCTCGGTTTCCTCCTCAAGTGTCACCATGGCCAACAATTCTAGTGCGCGAAACGCTGTCCCAGGTCTACTAAAACCTCGCTCCAAACTACACATTGGAGCCTTCAACGTACGTACCCTATGCCGAATCGGCCAACAGGCCTCCTTAGTTAAAACCCTAGAATCTCGTACCATTGATGTATGCTGTGTCTCCGAAACACGCATACAGGATCCCAGTGTGGTCATTCACTTGACCTCACCTCGCCAAAATGGACAGCCAACGAAATACACCCTCCGTGTATCTGGCGACCCGTTGGCTAGTTCTCGCGGACTTGCAGGTGTAGGCATAGCACTAAGTACAAGGGCAGAACAGGCACTACTAGAATGGATCCCCGTTAACAGTCGCCTGTGTGCTGTCCGGCTAAATGGCTCCGTAAGAACTCGGAAGGATAGGGACACACGTCGTTGCCTTTTCGTCGTTTCTGCCTACGCCCCCACTGACTGCAGCCACGATGAGATGAAAGATGACTTTTACAGAAAGCTCTCTGAGCTTCTTCAGAAAGCTAAGCGCTCAGGCATAGTAGTCGTAGCGGGTGACTTTAATGCCCAGGTAGGCAGCTTGAATCAAACAGAAAGACATTTAGGTGGGTGTTTTAGTATTCCGGCTCAACGAACCGATAATGGTGATCGTCTGTTGCAACTATGCTCAGACAATCGTTTATTTTTAGCAAGCACTAGTTTTAAACATAAGGAGAGACATCGTCTAACATGGCGACCACCTGCACCAAACCAACGATGGACTCAAATAGACCATATTGTCATCAGTCATCGTTGGAGAGGCTCAATAGAAGATTGTCGCTCGTATTGGAATACTTGTTTAGACTCTGATCACGCTTTAATACGAGCACGCATTTGTCTGCGCCTCAATGGACGCAGGAAGAGTACACTAAGAAGACCCATTAGGATTGAACTGGAGGACGAGAAAGCCAAATGCGAATTCCAGAAACAACTGAGTTCACATCTAGGCAGTTCTGTAAACAAGACTGACACAGATGCTGCTTGGAAAAACATACGAACAACTGTGGAAACAGCAGTAACATCTATTAGTCATTTAAATCATAGTGCTCCAAAAAACCAATGGATTTCTTCTAAGTCTATTTCACTGATGGATTCGCGTAAACTCATCCCATCAGGCTCTGAACATGACGAAGAGCGTAAACAAATTAGATCTAGGTTAACTAAAAGTCTAAGGAACGATCGTGAGCAGTAGTGAGCAACGAAAGCAAAAGAGATGGAAAAGGAAGCGGCTGTAGGGAACACCAGGCGACTATTTAGACTAATAAAAGAAACCGGAATTAAGAAGTCAAGTGTAAGTGAGACAATCTCCGAAAAAGACGGAACCCTTATCTGCTCTCAACCCAAACGTTTAGAACGATGGGCGGAACACTTTAAGGAGCAGTTTAGCTGGCCTTCAGCTACTGCACAACTACCCACTATTCCTAGAAAACCTGAATGGAACATTGAAGTAGGTCCCTCGACCCTACTTGGAGTTCAAAAGGCTATAGGTAATCTGAAACGAGGAAGAGCAGCTGGTCCAGATGGATTGGCTCCAGAGGTCTTTAAATATGGTGGTCCAATTTTAGCGATTAGGTTGACTAATATTCTGGCTAAAATCTGGGAGACGGATGTAATCCCATCCGACTGATCACAATCACTGATTGTCCCAATATATAAAAAAGGGTCAAAATCATCCTGCGATAACCACAGAGGGATTAGTCTGACTAACATAGTATCTAAAGTACTATCCTCAATAATTATCAGGCGCCTAACTAAGACTCGTGAACTGCAAACACGAGAAAATCAGGCTGGCTTCAGACCTGGTCGTGGCTGTATCGACCACATATTCACCATTCGTCAAGTTTTAGAGCACAGACACGCTTATCGGCGTCCGACAATGATAGTTTTTCTTGACTTGAAAGCAGCATTTGACTCTGTAGACCGAGAGGTTCTGTGGCAGTGTCTGTCATTAAAAGGTGTACCTGAGGAGTACATAAACCTTGTGAAGGCTCTTTACTCGAACACTACCAGTCGAGTGAGAGCTTATGGCGAACTGTCATATGATTTTACAACCTCAAGTGGTGTCCGTCAAGGCTGTCCACTATCCCCCTTTTTGTTTAACTTCATTATAGACCTGTTGCTGCAAATGACACTCTCGTCGACTGAGTTTACAGGAATTGATCTCCTACCAGGGGGACCACTAAGCGACTTAGAATACGCAGATGACATAGTCCTGTTTGGTGAAGACGCTGGCAAAATGCAGAGTCTTCTGTTGGAACTCAGTAATAATGCCAGGATGTTTGGGATGCGTTTCTCCCCATCCAAATGTAAATTGTTACTCCAGGACTGGCCTGCGTCAACACCCGAACTAAGGATAGGGAGTGAATTAGTCGAAGGCGTCGACAACTTCACTTATCTTGGAAGTCTGATCAGCCCTAATGGGTTGGTGTCTGACGAAATCTCAGCACGGATTCGGAAAGCTCGTTTGGCTTTTGCCAACTTACGTCACCTATGGCGAAGACGAGATATCCGTCTATCAATTAAGGGACGAGTATACTGCGCAGCAGTTCGCTCTGTTCTACTTTACGGCTGTGAAACATGGCCATTAAGAGTAGAAGATACTAGTAGGTTACTAGTATTTGACCACAGATGTCTTAGAAATATTGTTCGCATCTGCTGGGATAACCGGGTAAGTAATAGTGAGGTTCGACACAGGGTATTAGGGAACGATGGTAAATCAGTTGATGGGGTCATGAATCTTCATCGACTGAGATGGTTGGGCCATGTGTTACGTATGTCTGAACACCGATTACCACGACGCGCTATGATGACTAGTATTGAGGATGGTTGGAAGAGAGTTAGGGGCGGCCAAACCAAAACATGGCATCAGTGTTTGAAGTCACTAACTTCTAGTCTGAGCCATGTTGGCAGATGCAGACTACCTGGTTGGGGTCCGCGTGACTATCGTAACCAATGGTTGGAGACTCTGTGTGACATGGCTCAGAATCGATCAGAATGGCGTAGGTGTATATACTCTTTATCTTCCCTTAAACCTCGAGATTAAAATTGCTTCATACCTTTCTTTCTTCCTATACTATATCCTTATATACAACCTATCTTTTAAATACTACCACCACTAAATTAACTACTTATATGAATCCGGTGTTGATCTTGTTGTGCTAACGAGGTATGGCAACTTGGACCGATGCATATATGTGCCTGGTCCTACGTTGTAGCTGACTGACTGATCTTACTGTCGACCACTGATTAGCACAGAAATTTTTTTATCAACATATATACCTACAGCCTTCATATTATTGCAAAGCATTCGGAGTTTTCAGATATTCCTGATTTCGGTCATTAACCTTGCAAATGTAGTGTTATAATAAGCACATCATATTCTTAGACCACTCACAGGCGAAGAATATCAGAAATACGCTTTCTTTGATAATGAC